TTTGGGCTATTTTATGGCCATTTACTGAAGAACTCGTGCAGATCTGGTACCCCCTGAGGCCTTAAGGATCTAGTGCTGCTTTTTGGGCGACGATGAAAGATTAAAGACTCAAAAAATAACTCGCTTTGAAAGGAAAAGGCAGTAAAAGGCTTATATTTCCATCAGCAAATTTCGCTAGATGGCAATACTTTTTTTTGGGTGTAGATCAAGCGACAACAGAGAATATATATCATCTTTCAGAGTTTATACACATTAAAACCGATATAAATGTAAATGTTTAATATATATAAAAGATAATATAATATAATATATATTATAAATCCATGATTAGTAGTTGGAAAGCCGCTGCTTTCACGATATACAGTTTAAGCAGCACTAAACCCTCCTCAAAGATTTTTCTGGTTCTTTATGAAGCCGAAAATCAATGAATTTTACCTTGATTCTGTAAATCGACCATGATGCCCGGAAAGCATACACAGCCTTTACCTTTATAAGACTCACACTCCACACCCCAATCTACTGTCTCCAGCTTTATCCATTTTGTAATCTCTCTAATTATTCAATTGAAGAATTGCACTCAAGGACTCACCGCAAAGGATTGCCGCAACTGTTCGCCAAATGAACAATTCTTCATGTGCAACATAATCACACAAGTCCTGCGGCAGAAGCAACGAAAGCAGCAGCAGCAACAAAATTTCAACAATGGCATAAAGCCACAGAGAAATCAGTGAATTATACAACATTTAAGCAAACATAAGAGCACGAGGAAGGAGTGCGAGTGCGAGTTCTTGTCGAATGTAGAGAGATGTATAGAAATCCGAGCAGAATTAAGTTAGGACCATGCCCTGCCCCTGCCCCTGCCCCCCCGTCAAAAAACACAATGACGATGACTCCGATTCCGACTCCGACTCCAGCGAGAAGCAGAAGTTGGCCAAAAACTTTACACATCTGTAGATGTGTGTGTGGAGGGGTAGCAGGGGCAGCAGGGGGGGCGGCGGAAGAAAGGAACTATCGCAGCAGAAGTGAAATAAAGTTGAATGTAAGCAAACAAGTTGAACCAACAAACCAAGTCTCTAATTGTATTTGTGTGCTCGTGTGTGCGTGTGCGTGTGCGTGTGCTCGTGTGTGCGTGGGCGTGTGTGTGCAGGCGCCGAGGGCGTGGCATTGTGTTTTATGCGGCCAAACGGAACGCACCACTTTTGGGTACACTTCGGACTGCTGAAGAGAGCAGGCTGTGGAAAATATGATGAAGCCAAGCAAAACGGAAGAATTGAGAGACGAGACTCCTTGAGACCCAGCACAGGGCCAGGACCACCACCAGGACGCGTTTCCGATTGCTAGTCCAATGTCCAACAAGACGTGAAATGCAACTTTTTCGGAACAACGCTCGAGCACAAAAGGAGCACCAGAGAAGCACCAGAGAAGCAGCAGAGGAGCGCCAGAGGAGCCGCCTCCCCATGGAGCTTACAAAAAGCCGAGCAAATGTACAAAAGACAAACAAGGAGTGCAGTGCCGAAAGGATAAACAAGATATGTAAACTACAATGCGAATCCGCACGAATCCCGTACATCCTTGCCACAGAAACCGGTCACGGCACTCACTTGCTGGCAAACTGCAGCCCAAATTTGTGGTACACTGCACGCTGGCACTGCTCCGGAATCCTGGGCTGGATCCCCCGATGGCGAAGATGTTGCATTCACAAAAGCAGGAGACGATGAAAGCACTCCACAATACACAAAACAAGAGCGATTGATGGGACAGAGAGTGTTCCGACTTGAATATATCCTCGAATGCTCGAAGGACTTCTCTCTTCTGTCAGCCCTGGATAGCATATAACCCGTGTACTCCTGCACAACTCCAGGGTATTTCAAATGACGGAAATATGGCAACAGTTTGCCATTATGTGCTGCTGCAAGGTATTGAGAGAGAGACGAAGAGAGTGAGCCGCTGGCACAATCGAAGGAGAAAGAAAGGACACGAGTACATTTGTTTATGCGCTCCGGCAAGATGTAAGATTCAGACCCCACCAGAACCGCCTCCCCAGTAGGCAAGCGTTGAAATGGAACAAATGAACCAAGTCGAGAATTGCCAACTGCACACTGGAGTCGAAGGGAGCAGCAGCCACAGTGCCACAGCAACAACAACAACGAGATGGTTCCCATCCAAACAAATGATGCCACAAGAAAAGTTAAACTTGTAAATTCAAATTTCACATTTGTCTGGAATTCGCAATTACACTTCGGCAACAACAATGAAATATGTCCGCATGCTGTACGGTACACCTGCCCCGAGCGGGGGCATGAATAACCCCCACCCCACCTCCATTTCATGGCTCATTGTTTGGCCTGGCAAATGGAGCATTGAGGGAGAGAGGGGGGCAGTTAAAGAGGGCCTCCTATAGCATATTGTAATAATCCAAATGAAATTAAATGTACCGTAAACATTTCGAGTTACGAGCGAGCCAGACACAGAGAGAAATTCGGCAGCTTGGAGGAGCCCACAGGAGAAGGACGGGGAGGAGCAGCAGGGGGTAGAGCTTCTGGCATGCCCCACACTAGGAGGATGAAAGCAGAAGCCCCTTCAGGAGGCAACAAAGCAGCAACAGCAGCAGGTGCAGGCCTTGCCCCAAAACAGCGAGACAATAACATTTTCGGAATTCGTATCCGAAACCAAATGCACGGCTGGCGAATGCACGGCGGAATGGCGGAATGGCGGCCAGCGGTAGATGGTTGTTGCATTCTAATGGGGGCAAAATTGCTGGCATAATGGTGCACGCTGCAAGAACATACTTTGGTGGAATTAGGCAAACATCGAAGGAGGGTGTGGGTGTGGGTGGGGTTTCCTTTGCTGGGATTGGCAGGCATTCCATTAATGGAACATCGGCTGTTGAAGCTGCTTTAAAAGGAATACCCTTTGGAGGCATAATTCTGAAATGCTGGTCTACTGCTCCACCAAGAGCATCCTCAGCGAGCCACAAACATTACCGCATCGTAAATCATCAATAACTATATTTCAATCAGTTCGTGTGGATCCCCCACAGACACGAGGCCAAGCTATTCAATTGATAGCCGCTCGATGGTAAAGGACCATTAAATTAGCAAAAGAAATAAAGCGAACAACGAATGCGATCGATCGACTTAAGTAAAAGCCGGCCGGCCGACAAAATTGCACATTTTACAAGTTTACGAACCACTAAGGAGAGCCACAGCCACAGCCAGAGGCTCCCCCTCTTCAGAAGGAGATGCAGGCGGAGGTGGAGGTGGTGTACACCTTTTGGGGAATTTATTTCTAAAACAACTCTATCGCGATCATCGGGCGACGGCAAAGCGGCCCATAAAGCCCACGATTTATTGGCCAAGTCGGCAACAATTTGACAAGCAAATTGCTATAATTTCTGGACATTCCCCAGGCTCTGTTTGTGTGGACATGTAACCAGTCGTGGAGCATGGGGCATGGAGCATGGACCAGTGCATTTCTTCGCGCTTTTATCTGTGGAAATTTATGTAGGCGATAAAGCCCCAACGACTACTGGAGCCAGGACAGGCCCCAAGGCTGTTCTGTGGCTGCCATCTAATTGCTGGCCATTGCCATGGACCCTGGCTTCCCCCGGAAGGATCGCAATCGTCCGTTAAATTGCCATAATTTCGTTAGCTTTACGAGCTGCCAGGGAATCATCTCCCTCTCCCTTTGCCGCACAAAACAGATCTATTTCGCATTAGGCTTAAACACTGTCTCTTGCCCACCGATCCATCCGTAATACTTGCATATATTTGGCGATCATTGCGGTTCGGTTATTAAATCGCCATTAATCGCCGGTGTGGTCCACGGAATCAGAGATCATTAAACCAGAAAGATCATAAATCCCCCAGAAAGAACGCAAACAAAAAATGGCAATCATCATTAAAAAATGCAAAGAGAGCATAAAAAATCAGTAGAGAAACGAGAAAAAGGCACCGGCAAAGCGAAAGAGGGATGGGTAAAGAAGGGTAGAGAAATAACAAAGGGGGAGGGGAAGCCACGCAGCGATAAGCAAATGTTCCGTTCTCCTTTTCTCCTACACATCCATCGCTCTCTTTTACTCCTTCACATCATCTCCCTCTTCTTGTCACTGCCCTTTTCGACGAGTCATAAAGACACTGGGACGAAAAAGTCGGCCGACAGGTCTGTCGTAAAAATTAAAAGAAAATCACAATTTTCTGGTCTCAATTTTGATGGCAAATTTTGAGCTAATTGTTGCTTTTTTTGTCCATGTTTCGTCGGAAGGGGGTGCCTGTGGGGGGAGGGGTACCCGTTTTGATGGCACTTGGAATGTCGTTAATCCCGAAAAGCCAATTTAATGGTTCATGGAACTGAATCAGGCCGAATGTTGATCTGATTCATAAATTTTAGGTTAGACGCGGAACCAGAAGTAGGAGGGAAAACAAGAACGATGAGTAGTAGAAAGAGAAGTAGCAGTAGAAAGAGAAGTAGTAGAGATGTAGAAGTAGAAAGAGACGCAGAAGTAGTTGAGGAGGGGAGCCTGGCTGGCCATGCTGAAATTTTACAAGGTGGTCCACAAACTCTCTTTTCGGTTCTTATTTTACTCAGCACTACTCTCATATTTTGTGTGAGAGAGAGAGAGAGAGAGAGAAGAAGCGTTAAACAAGCCCCGAAAAGGCCACGCTTTTTCACACTAAGAACCAGTGTCGAAAGTATCGATAGTATCTCTTTTCGCACTCTTTTCGGATCTTATTTTGAGCTCTCTCTCATTAAACATGGCCTCAAAGTGCTCTCCCTAGTGCTGAGCGTAACATAAGCCCCGAAAGTGAGGTTTGCGGGCCACCTTGCATAATTTCAGCTTTCCCACACTAAAAATCAGTATCGATAGTATCGAAAGTATCGATGCACTATACACGATACATGCTTCCCAGCCGGTGGCCAGCGGGTGTTTGGCAACACTGTGAATGTGAAGCTCTCTGAAAAAGTTTTTCTGGTGAAAATTGTTCGATTTCTGCGAAAAAAAAAACATGGACGAGGCTAAGGGAGATAAAAGTATGCGCTTTCTATCGGTAAGTGGGAACAGGCGTATGCCCTCGAGCATGAATAGAATCTAACAACTGTGCCGCCCCCGAAGCTGAACATCAAAGACTGTCTCGGCTGCAGCGATGTGAGCGTGTCGTTCCCCCCATCGAACAGTGTGCACGTGCTGCTGTACAAGCTGATGGGGCAGGAGCAGGAGCAGGCCCGCGGCAATATGGCCGTGACGCCAGTGGCACAGGCCATACAGCTGCTGTGCACTCGGACCTTTCCGGACGCCGAGAGCTTGGAGCGGCTGCCGCTGCTGGAGGTGGGACGCGGCAGCGTTTCCCTGCGCTTCCAGGTGTTGCAGCCCGAACCCTCGCAAGAGGACAGCGACAGCGACTTGGACCTGGAGCCGTCCACATCGGCGCAGGCAGAAGTGCGTCTCGAGGAGCGGAAGAAACGCCGCGAGGCTGCACGTAATCGCAAGAAAATCTTCGTAGTCAAAAAGGAGGTGATGGTCGAGCGGCGATTCGACGATCCCCAGAGTCTGGACTGGGTCACCTATACGGAGAACGGTGGCGAGATCCTTAAATGGCAGCTGGACGAGTTCCACGCTCAGTTCTTCGAGGATCCCCAGTACTCGTCCATCCATCTGTGGGATCTGCAGCACAAGTGCGCCGGCAATTGGCTGCAGATCATCCGGGCGGACAGCAATGGCTACAAAAACTTTCAGTGGGTCTCGAAACGACTAAAATCATTTACTTTTAGGGGCTTGCTACATTTGAGATTCATTCCAGGACCCCGGGCAATCCGTTTGAGATCTTTGCCAAGCTCTTCGTTCGCAAGAAGCTGGATGAGGAGGATTTGGTGTGCAAATTGGCCGAATCCTGTATTACCGTCAACGAGGCCGTACTCCGCTCGGAGCGTCAGTTCGTGATGCAGGTGTTCAACCATGTGCGCCGCATATTCGAGTACATCACCATGAAGCAGTACACGGTGTGGTTCCTGGTGCCCGGCGCCCAGGGCCCTCAAAGTCTGACCGAAGAGGTATATGCGACCTCTCTGTTTTCCACATGTTTTTCATTGCGTTTTCCTCCGGCAGGATCTCGACTTCGATTTGCGTAATGTGCGCACTTCCATCCGTATTGCTGGCGACAACAGGAACATCTTCTGGTGCCAGTCCGATCACAATGTCCACAACTTGCTGATGGTCTCCTTCCAGCTGGCCCTGAGCAGCATTGCCAAGCAATCGGTGCTGATTATCAGCCATTTGGATAAGGTTTGCACTGTGCGCCTTTGAGTCTACGTTTCTCTTGATACCCCCCCCCCCGTCCTGTATCTTATAGATAGCTGATTTCGTGACCTGGCAGTTTATCACGGCCTCCTACATGAACGACATCTATGCCCGTGGATCCACAGATTCGGTAAGATCCCCAGCAGTCGCCCATTCCCGACTTTGGTTTCCTTTAATCTACATTCTGTTACAGAAATGGGTCTGCATGCGCTACTTGCAACGCATCGTCGAAATGGCCCAGGCCAACTGCATCATTGTCCTCATCGAGTATCCCAGCTTCCTGAGCGTTCTCTCCGACGAGCGGCATGTGATCAAGTGTGAGAAGCAGCCAGACAAGGAATCCTGGGACGTTAAAGTTGGGTCCGCCGAATCGTCCGAGTCCCGCTTGGAAATCTTTAAGACTGCCATCAATTTGGAGCTAGGCAGTGTCGCGCCCGCCACCCCTCAAGAATAAGGCATCTATCAAGCGCACATCCAATTTTAGTTTTACAAATATTTCCTTTGCTCCTCCATTGTTCCATTGCTCGTTTTGTAATTACGCAGCCGCCGCCGCCGCTGCCGCTCACGGAACAACAACAAGAGCTCCATTCTTCAGCTCCATTTCAATTAGGGTTTTGCTGGCTGTCAGTTTGAATGCCACACAGCCAGCAAGCCATCACCATCACCATTCTCATCCTCATCCATATCCCTGCCACCACAACAGCAGCAGCAACTGCAACTACAACTACAATGGCTGTCAGTCAAAGGCACGCGTCATTTGCTGGCGAAATGCATTTTACGTAAACCTAAAAGCATTTTAAGCCAAACCCCAACGCCCACCGCTATCGACCCAGTTAGAAGACAGGGACCACGGCCTGGAGATGCATTTGGAAGGAGCGACTGTCTGTCTATCTGTCTGGCTGACTTGACTGATTGGCGGTTGTTGGGGTAACTTTTCAACGCAAGAACATATCCGAATGTGCTACAGAAGATATTTTCATAAAATAGTTAACATTGTTAGTGCCTTTTAGGCGAAGCCGAAGGAAACAGAACACTTTTTTTTTTGTAGAATCAAAGATATTCAAGATTTGGCATTCAATAAGTGCCTTGGTGGGGCCAAATCTTACATATATAACATATTCTATTCATTCAAAAATAATATCAGAGAACAACAAGGGATAGATCCCATTTATTTGGAAAAAATACACACATTTTTTTTTTTGGTTGTGTCAAGATGAATTGAAAAAAAATATAAAAAAATACAATATTGAATTGATAACAAAATAAAGCGAGCGAGGGAAATAATCATTACAAAATTGGAATCTCAAATCAAATTTATTTCTCAAAGAAAAAAAAAAATTGGAAAAAATTCTTTCTTTACAAATACATTTTTTTGTTTATATCCAAATAAAATTAATCCACAAAAATTATGGAAAAATATCAGAAAGAAAATCCACTGTTAAGTAACTGAAATAATCTTTAAAAATTCGAGTCTAAAATTAAATCAATGTGCCAAGAGTTTAAGCCACAAAGAAAAATAATAATAACCACAAATAATATAATAATAGAACAACAACAACAAGAATGAATAAATGTGAGATTATGGGAAACAAGTCTCTATGTTAATTTTTATTTTTTTATATATCCAATTAAAATTGATCCACAAAAATTATGGAAAAATATCTGAGAGAAAATTCACTGATAATTAATTGAAAAATAAAGCGAATGAAACAAATAATCATTTCAAAATTCGAATATCAAGTAAAATCAATGTTCTAAGAATTTATTCCACAAAGAAAAAGCGAGAAAAACAAATATCAGAGAATAACAAGAAGAGTGAAATAATGTGAGATTATGAGAAACAATTCTTTATAGATAAACATTTTTATTTTTTGTATGTCAATATAAAATTGATATCTGAACACAAATCTACTTATAATTAATTGAATAAAGAATGAATGCGAGATTATTGGAAAAAAATTCGTTTGTTGTATATCAATACAAATTTGATTTTAAAAAAATGTAAGCAAAAATAAAGCGTATGATTAAATAATCATTAAATAATTCGACTCTCAAATGAGTTTATTTTTATTTTCCACTTTAGGGATAGGTTTATTTTTGATAATACATACATATTGTTTGCTATTACTTTTGGAACAACTTATACCAGTCAACAGTCAGAAAAATTATGATGATTTAAAAAAAAAAGAAAATGCGTGTTATTAATGTTGAAGAATTTGGAGAGGGATATTATTTGGTTCAATTATCTGTTCAGGTTTCTACGGTAGAGGTCCTCTTAGATCATCCTGTTGGGCAAGTCGACTGGGTGGGTATCTTGTTCTTGCAAGACGTCTCTCAAATGTTATGCTAACGGAAAAGTAAGTTAATTTTTAGCTAGTTTTAATTTAACACATTTAACGCACACACTTTTGGCGCTACCTTTTGATAGAGAAATTAGTTTCTCTTTAGCCTGCGGCTCCACGGCTGATGCAGTTTATGCAATTTATTAGTGGGGAAACTGTGGCCGCAGGGTCAAGCGGGCAGCTGGTCGTCTACGCGGATGATCATACGAGTAAATATGTGCAGAAAATGCATTAGCCTCGGGGCGACACCGATGCCGTCTAGACAGGTTTCAGCCACACGATGCGTGCCACATTTCGCACCCCGGCCAGGAGATCGCATGCCACGGCACTCAGGCAAATGACAGGCGCCCACCACCCCCCCAAAAGAGCCACTGTCATCTGTTAATTGCGCAAGGAAATACGTACGTGTAAATGTTGTGAATATTATTTTGGGTAGTCTCTAATGGAAGAGCCTAATGGAGGTTAATATATTGAGTAAGTACTTTTCGATGAGTAGAACACCTGCGTGTGTGGCTCTGTAGGGTATCTTACAGTCCGAAGGTTCACTTGTCTCCCATGCTGCTCCCAAGAGCAGCAGAGAGTGAAAACCAAGTGTAAAAGATGTCTAATGAAAAATGAAGTGCAGAAGCGAGAAATGTTATATTTCACATGAACTGAAAATTGGTTTCTGTCGTGAACTGTCTTTCGATCGAACAGTCAAAGGCAGGAAAAACTCAAATAAATGCAAATTTTACTGGTAAATGAAAAGCCAAAAGACTCTATGAAGTATAGAGACTCTTATTTGTATAATTATAAATTAATTGGCCGTCCGGGACGCCTGCTAGTCCCCTTTTTGTGGCCATTATCGGCGTTTATAGTTATCCAAAAGTCGACTACGGCAGCGGACATATTGGGCCATCTTTTTACCGACCTTTGACCCTATCACCCCTCCCCCTTAACACATTCGCGGTGGCCGCTCTGGCATAAAAGCGCAACAACAACAAAAAGCAACGAGTATTTAAAACTCGTTTCAAGTAAATATTTAAACAGTTTATTATGTTGGGTGGGGGGGGGGGGGGGGGGGGGCCCTGGGGTTCCTGCCACACACACAAACAGGGACACACATGTGGGCGTGGCATGCTGCACCCGCACTGGTGCCCCAAACCGCGCCTCGTGTTCGCTGGTTTTGTAAAATGGCGCGTGCAAAAATGTGCTTCCAAAAGGAAATTTAAATTTGAATTAATTATGAAGCCCCGCCTGGATTCAGGCTCCCGCCTGTCCTGCGTCCTGCATCCTGGCAGCTCTTGCAATTTGTTGTTGTCATTGTGGTTCTGCGGGTGTCTATGGATACACACACACACACAGAGAGCAGGTCCTGTGGGGTCCCTGGTTGCGGGGGCGTGCGAGCGTGTGTTTGCCTTGATGTGGCATTTGTTGCATTTACCAAATAACAAACAACAGCACTTAGCCGCCCCCTCGATGAGGTAGAGGGGTGGACCCTTAGTGGGTCAAAGTTCCGCCTGAATTTGTGCTGAAATGTTTTTCAATAATTATTTAGCCCAAAAAACAAGGGAATTAACGATCGAAGTGTCGGAAAATATAAAAATTAGCAAGAAATAAAGAACCAGTGAATCCATCATTCAAGAAATTCCATTTGTAAGGCAACACATATTAACCCTAACCAACCCCATATTAGCCCTTACCGATATTAACCCTAACCGATCCCGATATTATACTGCGATAGGTTTTATGCGATATTATTCTGCGATATGATACTGGGATAAGTTTTACGCGATATTATTCTGCGATATGATACTGCGATAAGTCTGAGGCGATGATTTCGACGATCGACAAGAAAAGAGAAAAGACGTGACTAAAAAACTAAACGAAGAGTGGCGCCACACATTCAAAGTTCTTCCGAGAAGCACTCCAGGAATCTCAAAAACATTTCCGATCTGAAATTATTTCCCATATGATGGGGGAGTTGGGCGAGGTGGGCGGTGGGCGGTACAGGTGAAATCATCCATTCAAGTGTCATTAATTAGTCGGGGGTGAAGCCACACCAGAAACAACAATCGATGGTGTCCGCAGGACAAACAACAGTATCCACTAGATGAAGCTCAAATTGATGGGACTAGAGGCGGGGTGTGTAGGTGGAGTAGCGGAGAGTTTCAGCATTTGTGTTTAATTACAAAATATTCCAAAGCGAAGGGGGGATGTACATTCCATGGAAATTGATTGGTTCGGAGCCTATAGCTTGCAGCGAGAGAAGGGAGAGAGGGGTGGGGGGAGGGGGGGATGCAGAATTGGCGGATTCACCCCCACGTCAGTGCCAATGATCCAGTGCAATGGACAGAGGCCGTTGACGTTGCTAACCCAATTAAACTGTCGCCCGGCCACACCAGACGACGAGAGAGATGCCTCATCCGTACGCGTCCCAACCCCGCCCCCTCCGCACTCTTCCGTGGGTGCTTATTCACCCCCCCCCCTTCAGCCTACTGATTGAAGAAGCAACTGTTTGACCAGGGCTCTGTTCCCTCTCTCTCTCTCCCTCCCACTGTTCGGTTCCGTCCGGTTCTTTGGTCTGGCACTTTGCCCAAATAAACCGCAAACCGCCCACCCCGTTTTTCACGCGGCTTCAATAGCAATTTGGTGAAATTCCTTTTTAATTTCAACCGCAGTTCCGCCTCCAACACCAACCGCTTGCGCCATTGAATTTTGAGCCTAGAGATGGCACCGTGATGGACGGAATGGAAAGGATTGGGCCTAGAGATGGCAAATTTGATGGCTGCGGTCTGTTGAAGAACAAGTAAGATATTTTGGGGAATATTATATCATTATTTTACTCACAATTATTGTCTGGGGAATACGAGTGTGTGTATGGATTGCACTGTGAAGAAAACTCACCTGAAATTAGAAAGAAAATATTAGCACAGGTAAGACCTTATTTAATTAAAAGCATTTAAAGTCTACGATCTATGGGAATATTCTTAAACATTTCACTTTAAAAAGGTTCTTAGAGGTTCCCAAAGGGTTCTTCTTCTCGCTGGCTATCCTTAATCGGATTCCTAATCAAATCCCTCATAGATTGCTTCAGTCTGTGCAGCCACTTCTCTTCCCTTGCAACGAATCGAATCGAATGTTTTGTTTTAGTTATCGCCTGCCAGCGCCTACTGCCTGTCCCTGTGGCAGGACAGGACAATTTTCAGCACCATAAACGGCTTAAATTTCATTAGCATCACAGGCTAGACATCGTAGAGAAGCCAACAAAAAGCTAGACATCATCGAGAGCCCAACAAAAAACGTCGAAAAGAAGAGGGAAAATCTCCCAAACAACAGATGAAAATCCCTCCGATACGATGTGCGGCAGACTTTCCCTCTCTCCCCGTGTCTGAGCCCAAATCAAATTTTGTGCTTAATGCTTGCGAATAAAAAAGAGGCGTCACAGAGGCGAGGCGTGGCTCGTTGTTTGAGTTGAAAGAAAACAAAATTTAAGCAAAATTCCGCTCAAAAATTGTAATTGTCTTGTCTTCTCTCTCATATTTGCGATGTGTAAATATGCGAAAAATTGTTTTTCTCACATTTTCTTCTGTTGATTTTGGGATCGGGGGGTCCTCCAGTGTTTAGAGCCTTGGTTTTTGTTGAACTTCTTCAAAGTTGGCCCAAACCAAGCCCATGTTTCGTGCATTTCATTTGTGCTTATGCAATTATCTTTCTGTTAACGAAGGAAAATGGAGTGAAAATTCTGTTAGCAAAAGGAAAATTGCCTTTCCTTTGCCCCAAAAAATTATTTGCACAATTGAACAAACTCCTGGTTCATTTTGTTTGGTTTCCTTTGCTTAGGAATATATAT